GGAGAAAGCTGCCCCTCCAGTTCTGCCCTGATGCCAGACTAGTTCTCGCTGTATGTCCCTGGATCCTTTCAAGCTGCTGCCCCAGCGCTAGAGCTCATAGGGAGTGGGTCTGAGTAAGTCCGTGTGTGGGCCCTTTAAGAGGAACTGCCTGGGACTCCAGCAACCCTCCATGTCACTCAGCCACAATCCCCGCTGGCTTTTTTTTTTTTTTCCTTTTTTTTTTCTTTTAATATTTTATTGATTTTTCACAGAGAAGGGAGAGGGACAGAGAGCTAGAAACATTGATGAGAGAGATCGATCAGCTGCCTCCTGCACGCCCCCTACTGGGGATGTACCCGCAACCAAGGTACATGCCCTTGACCAGAATCGAACCTGGGACCCTTCAGTCTGCAGGCCGACACTCTATCCACTGAGCCAAACCGGTTCGGCACCGCTGGCTTTTACAGCCTAAAGTTATAGGTATTTCTTTATGGAACTTTGGGCTGAGGGGTCTGGTGTGGGGCTGGGACCTCTTGCTCCTCACAGGGGACCACCACAGCCAAGGAATCCCTCCCGATTAAAAAACCACCACCCGTGCGTGTCGGACCAACCTGTTCTGTGCCTCCACCTCTCCTACCAGTCTCAGAGTGGCTTCTTTAATTCTCTAGTTATAGGACTTTCGTTCAGCCAGATTTCAGGCAGTTCTGAATGATGGTGGTTCTGTGGTTTAGTTGTAATTTTGCTTGTCCCATCATACCCATTTTAAAAGAAAGATTTTACTTTTGTGTGGTGTCTGGCTGTGTAAGCTACTGGTAAAAAGAACACAGTATTCAGCCGTGCCTTCTACTTGTTTTTAAATTATAAAAAGTATATAAGTGCATATATAGTGTAAAGAAGAATAAAAGTAGTACCCACCAGCTCGCACTGAGATTAAAAGAGAGAAAATTGTTAGCCTCTTAGAAGGCCTCCCATGTATTCTTCCAAGATTCATTTACCCAAGAAATAACCACGATCCTGACTCTTGTGATAGTGACACCCCTGCTTTTTAAAAAATATTTTTTATTAATTATTGATTTTTAGAGAGAGAGGAAGGGAAAGGGAGAGAAGAACAACAACAACAAAAGTTGATGTGAGAGAGAAACATTGGTTAGCTGCCTCCTGCATGCCCCCAAGGATCAAGTCTGCACCCTTTTAGTGCACTGGACAATGCCCAACCAACTGAGCCACACCAGCCAGGGCCACACTCCTGCTTTAAAAAAATGTTTAATCACTTATGTGTGCAGCCCTAAAGAGCATACTATTGTTTCAGTTTATATCAGTGCAACTTTTCAATCTGAATTCATCTGTTTTTGCACCTTCTGCTCAATATTAATATTTTATATTGGTATTCATAGCTGAAGTTAATGTTTATTTCTGTATATACCCTGCTGTATGATTATAACCTTCCCTATAAGTTTGATAGAAGTCATCTCTAATTATGTGGTATGTGTACACATTTAGGTTGTATCTTTTTTTCTACTATAATAATTTTGTTATAAACATTCTTATACATGTCTCCTGGTCACAAGACCGAGACTTCCTCTAAATTACAAACCCAGGAGTGGAAGAGAAATTTAAAGCAAAAGTAATTATAACAAATTACGCTTTCATCAGTGTGGTATGAGAATTCCTACTACTATGCATTCTCACCAGTACTTGATGTTGCCTAGTTTAAATTTTTTGCCAATCTAGTGAATGTATGTTATAATTGAATTTATTGGGGTGACATTGGTTAATAAAATTATATAGGTTTCAGGTGTACAATGGTATAATACATCATCTGTATATTGTATTGTGTGTTCACCACCCCAAGTAATCTGGTGGATGTAAAATGGTATCTTATAAGATCTTGATTTTCATTTTCCTGATTACAAATGAAGGCTGAGCATCTTTTCACATATTTACAAACATTTGTTCTTCCTCATCTGTAAAAGCCTATATACCTTTTATCCATTATTCTATTTGACTGTATTTTTCTTATTGACTTGTATATTATTTTTTCTGGGAACAACCTTTTGTCAGATGTGTGTGCCATAAATATAATTCTCTAAGTTTGGGCTTTTCATTCTCTTAACGGTGACTATTTCTTTATTGAGGTATTATTTACAAACAATAAGATTTTAAGTGTATAGTTAAATGGAATTTCACACACATACACCTGTATAACTACTATGGGTAGAAAAATAAATCACCCCAGAAAGCTGTCATATTCCCCTTCTCAGTCAGTCTCCCTACCCTGGGGGGCAATCAGTGTTGTGATGGCTATCAATATAGATTCCCTAGAGGCCCGGTGCACAAAAATGTGTGCACTCAGGGGGGGGGGGTCCTTCAGCCCGGCCTGTGCCCTCTCACAGTCTGGGACCCCTCGGGGGATGTCCACCTGCTGGCTCCCCAGGGAAGCGGGCCTAAGCTGGCAGTCAGACATCCCTCTGGCAGCCCGGGAGCCCTCGGGGGATGTCCACTTGCCAGTGGGGAGCAGGCCTAAGCTGCAGTCGGACATCCTTAGCGCTGCTGAGGAGGCGGGAGAGTCTCCTGCCACCACCGCTGCATTGGCAGCTGTCAGCCTGGCTTGTGGCTGAGCAGAGCTCCCCCTGTGGGAGCGCACTGACCACCAGGGGGCAGCTCCTGCATTGAGCGTCTGACCCCTGGTGGTCAGTGTGTGTCATGGTGACCAGTCATTCCCAGTCATTCTGCTGTTAGGGTCAATTTGCATATTACCCTGTTATTATATAGGATAGAGGCCTGGTGCATGGGTGGGGGCCGGCTGGTTTGCCCTGAAGGGTGTCCTGGATCAGGGTGGGGGTCCTGCTGGGGTGCCTGGCCAGCCTGGGTGAGGGGCTGAGGGCTATTTTCAGGCTGGCCACCCCCCCCTTCAGGGTGGGGGTCCCCACTGGGGTGCCTGGCCAGCCTGGGTGAGGGGCTGATGGCTGTTTGCAGGCTGGCCAAGCCCCCCAGCAGGGACCTTCACCCCATGGGGGTGTGGCCAGCCTGGGTGAGGGGCTGAGGGCCATTTTCAGGATGGCCACACACCCCTGGCAACCGAAGCTCCCAGCCTCTCCTTTTTTTCTTTTTTTTTCCCTGGGATTTATTAACTTCTATAATTGAAACTTTGTAGCCTTGAGCAGAGCCCAGGTCTGGCCAGGGCAGGCGGGAAGCTTGGCTTCCTCCATCGCCAGGGGTAACCCAAGCCTCCTGCTCACTCCAGCTCCGTGGCCACGGCCAGCTGGAAGCAGGTATCTGGGATTTATTTATCTTCTATAATTGAAACTTTGTAGCCTTGAGCATAGCCCAGGGCCGGCCAGGGCAGGCAGAAAGCTTGGCTTCCTTCATAACCGGGGGCAACCCAAGCCTCCTGCTTGCTCCAGCTCTGTGGCTGCTGCCATCTTAGTTGGGTTAATTTGCATACTCGCTACTGATTGGCTGGTGGGCATGGCTTGTGGGCTTCGCTTCATTGTAGCAGAGGGACGGTTAATTTGCATGTTTCTCTTTTATTATATAGGATTTTGTTTATTCTACAACTTACAAATGAAGTTGTACATAGCATACTTTATGACTTCTTTGGTTTAGCTAGGATTTTAGATATTCATCTGTGTTGTTGCATATATCACTATTTTGTTCCTTTTTTTAAAAAAAAGTGTTTTTATTGATTTTAGAGAGGAAGGGAGAGGGAGAGAGAGAAACATCAATGATGAGAGGGAATCATTGATTGGCTGCCTCCTGAACACCCCCTACTGGGGATCAAGCCTGCAACTGGCATGTGCCCTGACTGGGAATCGAACCATGACCACCTGGTTCATAGGTCAACACTCAAGCACTAAACCACACCAGTTGGGCTGTTCCTTTTATTTCTGATAATATTCCATTCTAGGAATATGACAGTTTATTTATTCCATTTACCTCTTCATGGACATTTGGATTGTTTCAATTTTTAAAGCATTATGAATAAAGCTGCTATGAACATTCTTGTGCAAGTCCTTATCAAGCTTCATTCTTACCCTTCCTCATTCTGTATCTTAGGGGCTGGACACCTGCAAACTACATTTCCCAGACTCCCTTGCCAGATAGTAGAAGGGCAGATAGTATTGTCCTCTCCTTCTTTCCCCTCCTCTCCCCTACCTTCCCCTACTTTTCCCTGCCTTCCTCTCCCCTCACATGTACTAAATTTATTTCTTTTATGGCTCTGGCATTTGAATCATAATTAGAAAGGTCTTTCCCACTCCAGATTTATTAAGGAACTCTCTTACGTTTTCTTCTAGATTTGTGGTTTCTTAAAGTTTCATAACTCATACTTTTTCTCTTTCTGATATATTTTTTCTATAATCTCTTTATCTTTTCATCCCAAAGATTCTCTATCTTGTAAGTTCAATAACATCACTAGGATATGTCTGAGTGTTGATCCTTCTAGGTCAGTTTTCCCTGGTACATGGTGTATTCTTTCAATATGTGGAGTCAAGTCTTCCTTTTGTTGCTGTTAGTAATGCATTTAGTGTAAAATTTAAATTACTAAAATTCACTTGTTTTGTACAATTCAATGATTTTAGTAAATTTACAGATTTTAGTAAATTTACAATGATTTATAGTAAATTTACCAGCCATCACCATGCCGAGTTTTAGAACATTTCTATCACCCAAAGATTTCTTGTGTAGTCATTTTCCCCTTCCCATCCCTAGGCCCATACAATTAGGACTCTACTTCTGTCTGTGTGTTTACTTTCCCTGGGCATTTCATAGAAAGGAATCACACAATATGTGGTCTTTCACTTCTGTCACTTGACATAATGTCTTGAGGTTTATCCCTGGTGTAGCATCTATCAGCACTCCATTCCTTTATATTGCCAAATAGTGTTCCATTGCACATATGTACCACTCATCACTTGTTAGGCCACTTATCACTTGATGAATATCGTTTCTACTTCTCTATTCTTGTCTATTATGAATGAAGCTGCTATGAACATTTGCGTAAAGTCTTTGTGTGGACACAGGCTTTCATTTCTCTTGGATGGATACTTAGAAATGGAATGGTTTTTTAAAAAACTGACAAAATTTTCTGAGGGCCTGCACCATTTTCCATTCCCCCAGCAGCGTATAATGGTCCCAGTCTCTCTACATCCTCACCAGTTTGTTATTATTTATTTTTATAATATTTATTATAGTGGGCATGTATCTTGTGCTTTTAATTTGCATTTTTCTAATAACTAACGATGCTAAGCATCTTTCTGTGTACTCTTTAACCATTCATATATCTTCTTTGGTGATATGCCTACACAAATCTTTTGCCTTTATTTATTTATTTATTTTTATTGTTAATCCTCACTTGAGGATATTTTCTTCATTGATTTGCAGAGAGAGTGGAAGGGAGGAGGAGAGCTAGAGAGCGAAACATTGATGTGAGAGAGAGAGAGACATCAATTGGTTGCCTCCCATATTCCAGGGATTGACCCTGCAACCGAGGTATGTGCCCTTGACCAGAATAGAACCCGCCACCCTTCAGTCTGCAGGCCGATGCTCTATCCACTTGAGCCAAATAGGTGAGGGCATCTTTTGCCCATTTTTAAATTGGGCTGTTTGTCTTCTTATTATTAAGTTGTAAGAGTTCTTTATATATTCTGGATACAAGTCTTTTATCATATATATTACTTGCAAACAGTCTGTGACTTTTTTTTTCAGGTTTATAACTTCATTAGGCAGTCAGCAGTTAATTCTCATCCACATGAACTGTTTGCAGATTTTTATGCATTCATTGGTTGATTCTTGTATGTGCCCTGACCACGGAACGAACCCGCAACCTTCACACATCCGGACGATGCTCTAACCAACTGAGCTAGCTACCTGGCCAGGGCACTTTTCATTTTCTTAATGGTGCCTTTTGATGTGCAAACATTTCATTTGGAAGAAGTCCATTTTTTTTTTCTTTTATGGTGTCATATCCAATCCAAGAATTGTTTGCCTAACCCAAGGTCATGTAGGTTTCCTCCTCTTTTTTCTTCTAAAAGTTTTACAGTTTTAGTCTTACATTTAGCACTGTGATCCATTTTGAATTCCTTTGCATTTTCCCCAGCACCATCTGTTAAAAAGACTCTCCTTCCCCCAATGTTCTATTGTTTAGGTTTCCTACTCAGGGGCCCCGTTCGGTTCCGCAGCTCTTGGTTTTCTTCTGTGTCTGTCTGTCCTTTTCTCCCCAGTCCTTCTTGACGCTTTCCGTTTCCTTTGGCCACTTTTCTGGTTTCTATGTTTCTGACCGCATTATCTGCAAGGTCTGCTCTCCCCGGGGCTGCTTTTTCTACTCGGCTTCCTTTCTGTGATGCTTTTGTTTTCCTTGTACTTGTTTTCTGAGTTTTGCTGGCTCCCATTTCCTCATCTGACTCCCTAGTTCCTTCTGGGAGTGTGTTTTTGCTGGCACTTTCTGCTCTCTGCTCTGTCAGGCTGGGCTCCCTGCTGTCTGTCTTGGTCCTCAGGTCTCCGCAGGTGACTTCTGCTGGGCCTCACCCCTTGGGGCTCCTGGGGCAATCACAGTTGCTTTTGGCAGTCCTCGGGTGTATTTTGAGTCTGAAGATTATATCTGTCTCCTTGTTTTGCTGAAAATGGAGTTATTTTCCTTCTCCTTGTTGCTTTTGTACGCCATCCAAGAGTAGAAGAAGAAAATTGCCGTTTGTGTCTTCATGCTCCTATCTGACAACCCCAGCCTGGGATCTCTGCTTGTTTATCATCCTGATCATCCCCTCAGTGCCAGAGTCTAAAGCTGATTCCTTCCAACAATTTTGAAAAATTATATGATACTTTCCTTTGAAAATGACCCCCTCCCCTTGTCTCTTGTAATCTCCTTCTCGAATTCACTCTACCATCTGTGGAAGTTCCCATTTTATTCTTCATATTTTTAATCTCTCTCCCATATTTGTCATATCTCTGGGCTGCATTCTACATTTCTTCTAGGGCTTCTAGAAAAGGCTTTAGGCGGCCATTTGATTGACCACTTTTTGGCAGCTCCTGTCCTCCTCTCCACTCTTCTTCCACAGAGTTTGACACACTGCATTTTACGTATTTATTTTGTCTTCGTTGTCCCCCACTATTTTTTAAATTCTTAAGTAAACTTTGTATGTGAGTATAACATGTCTGTGGAAAAGTACACCAACCGAGGTGTCCAGCGCTAGGACACTGGCAGCGCTAGGCTTTCTCTCCTGACCCCTGGGCTCAGGCGGTTGCCAAGGCAGACGTGCCCCTGTCACGACATCCAGACCGTGAAAGAGTCCTGACATCCCAGAGGCCCCTGGACTCCCCACCCGCCAAGGGCAATCACTCGCCCAGCCTCCAGTTCGTTTTGTCTGGTTTTTAACTTTATATCAAAGAAATCATATAGGATGTATTCTTATGTGTCTGGCACCTTTTGCCCATTATTTTGTTTGTGAAATTCATTCACAGACCCAGATGTTGCTGGGAGTAGTCACAGCTCATTCTCATTGCTGTGTGGTGTTCCTTTGTGCAAATATACCATCATTTATTTGTCCTTCTACTTCCGAGGGAGAGTTCAGTGGTTTCCAATTCGGGGCTATGACGAATGGCGCTTGATGAACGTTTTTCTGTCTTTTGATAATGCCACGTGTGCCTCGCGGTTGGGTGTGCACCAAGGAGCCGAGCTGCTGGGTCAGAGAGCGTGCGCCGGTTCTCAGCTGCTCATTTTCTTGGAACTTTACTTGTGGAACCCTTTGGGACTTGGCTAAAGTTTCATGCCCCTGAGGAGGTTTGTCTTTTTTCCCTCCGGTTACTTGGGGGCCCTGCCAACCGGAGACCATTTTAAATTTTGTGCAGACCCTGCAGGTGACCTGAATGCAGAATGCAGCCTGCAGGAGGGCCCGTTTGTGGTAACAAATTTGGGGGAAATTTCCCTGTCCCCTCGCCCCAGAGCCAGGCTGGAGACAGGTATGTTTCCTCACCATGTTCTTCTGTGTGGGGGTTATTTTTCATTGACTGAGGGATTAGGTTTTGAAGCGCCAGCTTTGCGTGGCGTATTACTTTGCTAGGGCTGCCATGACCAAGCACCACAGTCCTGGAAGCTAGACATCTGAAACCAAGGTGTAGGCAGGAGCGGTTCCCTCTGATGGGCCCGAGGGGCAGGTGCCAGGCCCTCTCCCAGCTTCTGGTGGCTGCCTGCACGTTCGGTGTGCCGTGGTTTGTAGACACAGCACTCCCTCTCTCCCTCTGTCTGCCTCCGTCTCCCTCTGTCTCTGTGTCTTCAAAAGGCCACCATCTCTTTCGGTCTCTCCTCCTCTTATAAAGACACCAGTCATATTGGGTTAAGGACTGAGCCCACTGCAGTATGACCTCATCTTAACTAATTACAGCGGCAATGAATGACCCTCTTTCCAAATAAGGTCACATTCTGAGGTGCTAGAGGTTAGGACTTCGACATACCTTTGCAGGGGACACAATTCAACCCACACCACATGGAGTCTCCCGCTGGACTGCCCACCGTGGCAGCGCTAGGCTTTCTCTCCTGACCCCTGGGCTCGGGCAGTTGCCAAATAGAAGTGCAAGTTCTCCAAGATTTGCCAGAAACTCAGAGGGCAGGAGCCAGCCTGCTTCTACTTGCCTCAGACATTCTGCTTTATTTTTGGCTTCTGTGGTTTTCTTCCTTTTGCGTCAACAACACACCTCAGAAAAAGATCCCTAACGTTTCATCTAGGTTCCTCCCTCCGTTCAATAAGAAACATCGCCAGGAACCCAATCATCGTGGGTTTAATCCATGCTTGCCCCGACCCCCTCCTCCACACTGGCAAGATGTCTGCCCATCCCAGCCAAACCCTGGGTCTTCTCCTGAGCCCAGGGCCCACTCCCCCCTGCTCTTCAGGCCACCCAGAGGTAGACCTGCCTCCAGTCATGCCTCTGGCCTCAGTATCTCGCTTGAAGTTAAGGGCATGGGGCTGTGCAGCTAGACACCTGCATTATGCCCGCCTGGTGGTGCCACTTTAGGCACACTACTTCCCAGCCATAGCCTGGGTTGTCCCGCCTGCTCACTGGGGGCTTTGAAGGCTGCGTGACACACCGAGCATGATGAGTACTCGATCAGGCGGCCCAGCCTCTGGTGGGAGGGCTCCAGTTAGAATTCTTAGCAGATGGCATCCTGGAGGGATGAAGTCGCTCAGTGAAGGTCCTCTGAGGGACACACTGAGAGGAGACCCCCAGAGGCACTCAGACACCGCCCCCCCCCCACCCCTGTGTCTCAGGGAACATCTACAACTACGTGCCCTGGTATAACACCAAGCCGGTGGTGGCCCTGACCTCCTACTGGGAGGACATCAGCTTCCGCACGGACTGCCTCAACCTTCTGCACTTCACTCGGGACCGCCTGGTGAGTGTGCTGGCTGGGTGCAGGGAGGACCTGTCACCGAGGGGAGATTTGGGACAGTGAGTCACAGTCGGAGGAAACCGGTCCCTTGGCTCACGCCTGCCCTCCACACGGAGTGAGATGGAAGTGCCCGACAGGGGCTGGGCTCTGAAGACACCAAGATGAGTCAACACAGCCGCTGCCCGGCCTCGGGGAGGTGCAGCCAGGGCTTCGGAGGATGCGCAGGCACCGGCCACGGGGCAGAGACTGGGCGGGGGAGGGGAGGTGAAGAGCCGATAGGGAGGACGTGTTCGAAAAGGAGGTGACATTTGAGCAGAGCCCTCAAGAATGAGGAGTTTGCAGGGGGCATGGGTGGGGGGTTAGAGAAGGGAACAATGTGCACAGCATGGGGATGTGAAGGTCGAGGGTGGTGGGGGCATGGAGGTGAGTGCGAATAAGGCCAGAAAAGCTGGGAGAGGTCAGATCACCAAAGGTCTTAGGTGTCTGTTAAGAAAGAAGCCACTGCAGTTTTAGACAGGAGAGCCAGGTGGTGCCTCCTCCTCAGATAGGACGTTCTCGCACATGGGAAGGGAAGCCCAGCATCGGGACCGGTGCCCCTCCTCGGCCCGCCTACCCTGGCTCCTTCCTGCTCCCCCTTCTCCTGTGGGGGAGTGGGAAGGGTGCGTGGGGCCCTAACCCCGCAAGGGCCTGTGACGGCTTTGGACTGGTGTCCCCAGGTTGCCCCTCACAGGTTCCCAAGTCATGACTGAAAATGTCGGGCGAGTCAGCCCTGCAGCTGCCTGGGTGCCCCATGCTCACCTGCTCTTTTCCTCCTACTGGGCAGAAAGCCAATCTGGACACCCTGAAATCTATGCGGAACCCGAGGGACCCCGCCCTGCTCCCCCAGTGGAGGAAACTGCTGAGGGACCTGGTGGAGGACTGCAAGTAGGAGCAGGGCGCCACATCGGAGCGGCCCCCCCACCCCCCGCCATGGCAATGGCGCCCTTCCCCACCCTGACCCCACCTCCCCAGATCTCTCCCTGGCTTGAGACCCAAACAACAGAGCAGCTTCTCCTCTCCCATCAGGCCTTGCAGAAAATGGCCCTGTCCTTCCCCACCTCCCCCGCCCCCGCCCTGAGCATTGTCCCTGCTGTCCCCACTCCACACCTCGTGCTCCCACCAAACCAAGCCTCTCAGTGTTTCCAGACAAGCCCTGCCCGGCCCGGCCCCACACCTTCCCCCTGCTGCTCCTCTCCACATGCCTTCTTCAGGGCTCTGACTATTCCAGAAGATTCCTTGTAAGGCCCCTGCCTGCTCCGCACCCTACTTGGATTCCCACTGCTACACCTCAGGGTTTGGTTGCCTCACACCCCTCTCCAAGAGGTGTGAGCATAGGCCTGGCTCCTGCAGGGACTGGGAGGGCGGGTGGGGGTGGGGTGTGAGAAACTGGGGACCAGGCCTGCGCTGAGCAGGCTTCTCAGGAGGGGTGGGAAGGGCTCCCTGCGTCAGGCCAGCAGGGGCTGGGCAGGATCTCGAGTCCAGGAAGGGCACGTTGGCCTCAAACAGGGCCAGAGGCCACGCATGGCCCAGCCCTCTCCTTCCTGGTCCTGGCCACAGGCGCCCTCTGCCCTGCATGACCCATCAGCCGAAAGCCACGGAACTGGACGGGAAGAGGTGGCAGCTCCGTAACCTCCTCCTCAAGGAACTGGCCCAAAAGGCCAAGGAAGTCCAGCCTAGGGACATGGTGGCCACCGTGGAGGGCTGGCTATACCGTCTCAACGCCGTGCTCCCCGAGGTGGGCACTGGGCCCCTGGCCGGGAGCAGGCGCGGAGCCGGTGCGCGGGCCTAACTCTCCTGCTGCGGCAGCCCCAGGTGAGCATCCCGGACGTGGTGATCTGGCTGATGGCCAAGGAGCAGAGAGTGGCCTACGCACAGGTGCCCGCCCACAGCGTCCTGTTCTCCCCGACGGGGCCTCTGCACTGCGGCAAGTTCTGCGGGAAGACACAGACGCTGCTCCTGCAGGTGCGCAAGTGGGAGTCCTTGGGCAGCTCCGGTCCTGGTGGGGGGAGGCCAGGAGCACCCCAGGGAGACTCCCTGAGCTCTGGGGGTCCCATGAGCCTCCCCTCCGGCCTGCCCCTGCCTGCTCCCAGGCCCTTTATCAGGTGAATGGGGTGGAAGTTTCCAGAGGAAGGAAAGCCCATCAGCATGAGGCTGACGTCCAGTCCATGACCCAACAATGTCCCCTGATTGCCTCCTCCGTCATCTTCACACCACACTTAGCTCCTCCTCGTTCTCTCTCCCCTGGACCACAGTTGGGCGCAGCCCAAAATATGCAATGACTATAAGGTTTGGGCACCAGCCCATCGTATCAGATATAAGCCATAAATAAGGCTACCACCACCCTGACCACAGCCCCTGCTTCCAGCCCGCCCCCAGCCCCGGAGGCAGGTGGGGACACGTACCTGGCTTTCCACTGCGTCCTAGAGAAGGTCCAACCTCCCTGGCCTGACCCCAGTCACCCCTCCTCCTCCGTCCTCTCAGACCCCATCCTCTCAACAGTCAGGCCACACTGGGCTCCCCGACACCTGCCTGCCCTCTGCCCTCCTGCCATCTCGAGGCCCCTCTTGTGCCCTCTGAGTCCTTCTCATCCTGCAAGAAGCACTGACACTTGATCCCTGGCTGTACCGCTCGCTGGATCGCTAGGACCACTGTCAATGTCACCAGCATCCCTGCTTCTTCCTGGCAGCACTGCCCCTCTCCCCTCAGCCCCCCTAGCGTGGGGTCATATGTACAACCATCGGCTAGCTCGGCTCAGTGTGGGGCCCCTGCTCCCGGGGCTCAGGGTGAAGGAGCAGGTGTGTGCCCCTCCCTCACCTGCACCCCTGCCCCCGGGGGACCCACACCCTGTGGGCTTGACCTGCCGCTGACTCAGCACCCAGAGGGCGAAGGGCGGAAGGACTCGCTCCCGGCCCATCTCCGGGTCTGCATGTGGCTGGGCAACGTCACAGACAGCTGGGACCTGCAGCTGCTCCGAGAGGGCCAGGTGGTCGTGTACGCGGAGACGGTGAGCGGCCGGGGTGGGGGGCGAGGGGGACAGAAGTGGGGGAACTGCAATGGCCCGGCACCGAGAAAACGTTCCCAGAGAATTGGATTCTGAAGGGGGTCTGATGGAGAAAGGCAGCAGATCGACCGCAGACACTGCCCGCTGGGGTCCGTGGTTCACAAGCCACAGGCATGTGGTCGCTGAGTGGTCCCCTGGGGCCGGTCACTCTCTCCCTAGTGGAGATTTATGGGGAGTTTATCCCTGTTAGTTCAGAGCATGTGAGTGAGTGAGGCCCCGGCTTGCAGGGGCCTGTCCATCACCAGCCGGGCAGCCTGGGGCCCCGCACCCCCCAGCTGGGTCCTTCAGGCCAGGCTGGTGGTCTCAGGGAGAGGGAGGCCTGGCACTGTTAGAGGGACAAGAAACGGGGCGCTTTCCCACAGGGCAATGAACCCAGGGGGTGGGTGAGCAGGGCTTAGGCTAAGCTGTGAAAGCAGAAGGGAAGTGGGTTTAGAGTTTCAGGCTTTGTAATTTACTGAAGTAAACACATTTCATGGTCCCTAAGTTGTGTGTAGCAGGTGGGCATATAATATGCGTAACCAGCTCCTTTGTAGGCTTGGAGATGCTGAGATGGGGATCCCACACACCCAGCAGGGGAACCTGCAAGAAAGGCCCCGAGGTTGCAAAGAGGAGGCAAATAGTGGAGCAGGAGGGCCGCTGGGGTCAGCAGTGACAAGGCAGACAGGCCCCATTGCAGGCACCACCAGGGTCTCTGCGGTCCCACTGTGTGCTGGGGAGGCAGCAGATACTGACAGCCTTCCCTCCACTCCCATCCCCAGTATGAGAACCAGGCCAAGTACAAAGACCAGTGGGGGCAGCAGGGGCTGTACCAGTGCCCCAACTTCTCTGACGTCCTGGGGCACAAGGCTCTCCCCAAGGAGGACTTCAAGGAGCCCTTGGGATGGCACTGGGAGGGGAAGTGGACGGTGGAGCCTCAGAGGAGGTAAGTCTTGGGTGCAGGGCCTGGAGCCAACACTTCTTTCTTCCGGGAGGCCGGTCAGCAGCAGCCTAGACAGGCAGGCACACAGCCACTGGAGCCCGGCCCTAGGGTTGGGGTGCCCAGGCAGAAGCCCTGCCCACCACACTGCCCTGCAAGCCCGCCCACTGCCCAGCCTTGCCGAGCAGGTGGGGTTCACAGGAGGGAGCACTCGGCCAGCAGAGGAGGACCCCAGGGGTCTGGGAGTTTGGGGAGATGTGTTGGGAACTCAAGGTGTCGCTGCCCCCAGACTCCTCCTAGACACAGACATCAACAAGAGCCAGGTGCTGGAGGAGGTGTACGAGAACCAGCAGCGGGACCTCGCGGGGGCCTGGGTGCCGGCAGCCACCCCCAACACCGACGTGGTGAGCAGGGCGAAACCACCTCGGGGCGCGGGGGCAGTGCGACCAGATGGCCACCTCGGGAGCTGGGTTGTCCAAGTGGGAAGAGCGCTAGACCAGGGGTGGCTATCTGAGCCCGTCCCCCTCTGTGTGGGCCCTGGGCCAGCACTGATGATGGCTCCAATGAGACGGCCTCCTCAGGGGGAGGAGAGGCGGGGGCTGGGGCTGGTCTCAGCAGAACTTGCTGTCCAGCAGAACCTGCTGTGACGATGGGAACGGTCTATATCTGCGCTGTCCACGTGTGGGTATTGAGGACTTGCAACATGGCGTTGTGAGGGGAACGAACTGCACTGAGTTTTGTTTCACTTCATTAATTTCAATGTAAGCGGCCCCGGGAGGCCGGCGACTGCTGCACAGGACAGGACGGTCTACCCCTCACGCTGGGCTCCCCTGGGCAGGCGGCCGCTGGGCTGGGGCCGGCGGCAGCATCCAGGTGGCAGCCACGCTCAAGTTTGCTTTCAGTCATTTCCATGGTTATTTCCTATTTATGGGGAGTGATGCTGATTTTCCACTGAGAGTGGACATATAAAGTTTCCTTTTAAAAATACGTTTATTTATAGTTTGAAAAGGCGAGTCGGTAAAGGCATATTCAGTGACTGTGAGTGGCTTTAGACGTAGCAAGTGCCGTCTGCTCCAGGTCGAGCAAATGTGCGGGCTGGTGAGTGAAGGCGGCCCCTGGCTCAGACACCCCTCAGCCCGCCGCCTCTCCACCCGCAGAACGGACAGCCTGTGGAGGCGCGGGAGAATGTGAAGTGCCCCCAAGGCTGGCACGTAAAGAAGAACTGGACTGTGGAGCTGAACCACGCGGTGGACAATGAGGGTCAGTCCTCTGCTCACAGGCCGCGGGCAGGAGGGCCTGGAGCTGCCAGGGTCCGACACTGCCCACAGCCTGAAAACAGCCAAGCTCCCGGGTGGGATGGGCCTGAATTCCTGGGGGTCCCCAGCCTCCGGAGAGCAGGGCTTGACCCTCCCCACAGACCTGGGCCCAGTTCTGAGACAGGGCAGGTGGGATGCACCTCTCAGTGCCTGAGCAGGGATCTGGCTCTGGAGCCGGGGTTCCCCCCGGGGGCTGCAGGGAGGTGCCCTCAGCAGGAAGTCTGAAGACCTGGGCTCAAGACCCAAACCCTGCCACTCATGAGCCGTGGGACCTTGTATGGGTCACATGACATCTGAGCCTCACCTTCCTCATCTGTGAGATGGGCAGCTGGGCCCAGGCCACCGAGGTGACACAGTGTGACCACACCTTCCAGGGCCAGAGAGACCTGGACATGAGGGCAGTGCTGCCCCTGTAGCCTGTCTTCTGGGGCCCAGCTCTCAGGCTCCTCCCAGCCTCCCAGCCTGTGGGACCTGGGCACCCACGCCACGGCCCTGCTCCTGCAGGCTGGGAGTACGGCGTGGGGATCCAGCCCTCCGGCCTACCTCAGGTCTGGAACTCAGTGGAAAAGACCTACTACTCCTGCCGCCGGCGGCGCTGGGCACGTGTGCGCTGCCGGAACCACGGGAAGCTGAACCTGGAGCAGGAGACGCTGTCCTTCCTGCAGCTGGTGAGGGGCCACCTGGGCGGGAACATGGCAAGACCGCTGGCAGGGTCCACCCCGGGCCATGCAGGAGGCTGTCCCGGCTGTCCTCCCTGCAGGACCACCCTGGCCCAACCCAGGAGGAGGAGGGCTGGGAATACGGCACCATGGGCTCCAAGTTCCACCTGAACCCTCAGCCCCAGAGCCGGTTCCGCCGCCGCTGCTGGCACCGCAGGCTGGCCCCCAACAAGGACAAGGGCATCGCACCCATATTCCTCCTGGAGGGATCCTTGGTAAAGCTCAGAGGGCCGGGCACCTCCTCCCAGCCCCCAGCCCCTGGAGCCTGGGCCCAGGGAGACGTGGCAGCAGCAGATGCTCTAGGCTGGGGCACTGACAGCTCAAGGGTGGGGAGTCTGCGTCCTGGAGCCACATTGTCAGGCTTTGGAGGGTGGAGCCCAGAAGGGCAAAAGGGGGACCTGGGGATGGGCACCCAGGAGCCTCAGGGAGACTGTGGTGGGCAGGGGAAGGATCAGAAAAGGCAGGAAGAGAACAGGCCGCCGTCACGGGGTCTCAGCAGAACGCTCAGGGGCTCCTGGAAGCCTGCCCCGGAGGACACCCTGCCGCCGCCCCACCTGCCTTTCATCTACTGCGTCTTCAACAGTGAGCACTTCTCTGAGAGCCGTGCCTGGGTGGTCTCTGAGGCCCCGTATCTGAGGGCAGGGAGAGGGGAGGGCTGGGGTGGAGTCCTGGGGGCAGGTGACAGAGTCCACTCCTCTCTTACCCAGAGCCCCACTACTACCAGCTTTTCTGCTACATCTACCAGGCCCGGAACCTGATGGGCAACCAGATCCAGACATTCCAGGGTAGGTGGCAGCACCTCTTCTCCCCCAGCTCCCCAGGGGCCCAGGATAAAAAATATGGCAAAGGAAGAGGGTGACCAATATGCAGACCACCCCCCAATTCCCAGCAGCTCATGGCCCTGGTTTGGGGAAAAGACACAAAAACAAGGAATACAAGGCAAGGCTGTTGTTGAGGTGTGTCCCCAGTGCTGTGGAACTAAGAGGGGAGTTGGGGAGGCATCACCTCAGGGGACCACTTAGCTGGCCTTGAACAGGGAGGAGTTCATGAAAGCAAAAGAGAAGTGACCATTTGGAAAATTCACGTGTCCCTGGAGCTGGACAGATGAGGGGTAGGGAGGAGGGGTGGCGATTTCTGGAAGGTTCCAGGTGGGTCAGTGCTCTGCCCTGTCCTGCTGGTGGCTGTGTAGGGAGCCAGGTTGCTGGAGGAGGGCTGAGCCGGGCAGTGTCCACTGGGCACCGGCACCTGTGTTGAGAGGCTATTTGATCCTCCCCGATGCCAAGGCCACTCGCCAGTGCTGTGAAAAGGCAGCCACGTGTAGCCTGGTCCTCAGAGCTCCTCCGGAGGAGCCACTGGCCCTCCTCCTCTGTGCCACCCAGCCTCAACCATAGCAGTGTGAAACAGATGTGGGTGGGACCAGTGACCCTTGGCCTCTGCCTATCTGTCCCTTTGCTCTGCGGCTTACACTGAGGTGGCTTCAGCACAGCGGGCAGTGGTGGGGCTGCCCCGCCTGGGCCTCCCTGGGAGACGCCCTAGGGTTGGGGCCCTGACAGGTGGTCCAGTGGCGGCCGGAGAGGAGAGCTTCACTCAGCTCAACAGTGAGACTCGCCCCTCTCCCCCACCCTCCAGAGCCCTTCGTCCGGTTGGTCTTCTTGAACCATAGCCAGTGCACCCAAACCCTGAGGAGCTCTGCAGCCCCCACGTGGGCCCAGACGCTCATCTTCCAGCATCTCCTCCTGTACGAGAGCCCTCACGACACCAGGGAGAGCCCGCCGCTCGTGGTGCTGGAACTGTGGCAGCGGGACTCGCGGGTACGGCGGACTGGGCCGGGCAGAGGAGAACGTGCTCCAATGGGCCTGGCTCGCAGGGCATCGTGTACACATACCTGTTAGCCCTTTCCCTAGACTCATGGGGATCCCAGGGGAGGAGCCAGGAGCCAGAATCCGCTAGCTTGGCACCTTGTTCTGCAAATTATCTCCCTCTAGGGCAAGGAGAGCTTCCGGGGACGGAGCATGTGGCCCCCAGTGGTCTGGCTGGATGTCCAACATCGGGTCTTGCCCCCCATGAGGTGGCATCCCTTTGCAAAAGAGTTGGGGGAGGAAGAGGGCGAGATCTTGGCTTCCTGTGAGCTGATCCTTGAGACTGAGGTACTGGGACAGAGGGCCCTGCTGGGAGGTGTAGTACTCAGTGCCCCACCTTGCCTCATGCCCCTGCGACATGTTCCCACAGCCAGTGGTCCCTGACTCCACCTACCCCCCGCCCAACCCCCTCAGAAAGGCCTGGGGCCTGGGGCCTGGAACCAGAACTCAGGGCCTGGGGAACCCAGCCAGCCTGCCCCCCTAACCTAGCTCTCCAGCCACCATCTGCCCATGGGCTTGGGGGCCACCTCAGTTGAGCTCTCTCAGGGACCTGCTCGAGTTGTGGATGGAGAACAGTAGGAACAGCCCAGTGGGGCCTTGTGCTCCCTGCTCTCTCACCTCATCCCTTCAGAGTCTCAGAAGGAAGCTGCCAATCTTAAGTGTTCCCTGGAAGAACGGGGTCTTCACACTCCCCAAGAGCATGCAGCCCACGCTAAGGAAAATGGCGGTGGAGGTGATGATGGTTGGGGTGGGGAGGTTGGGGGGGGGGTGGGCAGGGAACGTGGAGCTCTGCTGACCCTCCTGGGGTGGTCCTGACCCCCAGACCCAAAGCTGAGATGGAGGGAGATGAGAGAATGAACAGCAGCTCTGAGAGGACATGTTTAATTATTTTATTGCACACTTGCTGCAGGGAGTAGACAGGGGACTCCTACCGGTGGTGGCATCTGAGCCGCGTGCTGCCCCGTGGCAGGGCTGCTCTCAGAGAAGGAAATGGGGCTTTGAGAGACAGTGACATGGGCCCAGTGGAGACCAGAATTGGGCCAGGCCCTGACTCCAAGGCCAGACGAGTCTCCTTTCTTTGAGAGTAGCATGGAAATCCCCACGTGGGAACCTATGCAACTGCCACAAACCTGGCAACGAGCAAAAGATGGTCAGGCCTGCGGGCACTGGATTCTCCCCCCAGGTGAGGCCCAGGCTGGTCCTGAGGAGGGCCTGACCAGGAGGGGCATGGGCATCTCCTGGGGGCTCAGTGTCTGCCAGTTGAGGGCAATCACAGGGTGTGGGCCACTGAATGGCATGGCGCTCTATGGAAGACAAGTCAGCAATGAGTAGCTGACATTAGGAAACCTGAGAAATCTGGGTACCCCCTGCTTGTGGGGGCCTCAGGAGCTTCTTCCTCAGAGAACTGATGGGAGGCCAGACAGGGAAGGACAATGCCTAAGGGCAGTGGAGGGCAGTGAAGGACAGTCACAGTGGCCAGAGGGCCCCTCCCTCAGGAGGGAGGAGTATCCAGGCTGAGGACAAGCACTGACCCCCTGGCCCTGCGTACTCCCTGATGCACCATCACTGCCAGCACAGACCCCCCACCCCCCCAGAGGTGCTGTCGTCCCTCCCTCTCTGGCAGGTCCTGGCCTGGGGGCTCCGGAACATGAATCAGGTGCGTTCCCCCCAGCTGCTGGTGGAGTGCTGGGAAGAGGCCCGGCAGACAGAGCCCATCAGGGACTTCCAGACCAACCCCAACTTTGCCCAGTCGGTCCTCTTCCTCACACTGGTAAGAAGGCCCGGGCAAGGGCTGGGCAGCCCACTCCTCAAGCGAGGTCTCACAGTGCCGCTCTCTGGGCTGCAGTACATGCCCACGGAGGAGGCCTACGCGCTGCCCCTCGTATTGAAGGTGGTGGACAATAAGGACTTCGGCCAGCAGACCCTGGTGGGCCAGGCCAACATTGACTCCCTGCAGCCCTACTTCTGTGACCCCTGGGCCTCGGACTACGTGCCCCCACGGCTTCCAAGTACGTCCTTACTCCTAGCCCTTCCCAGGCCTCACCAATAAGCAGGCACAGGGAGGGACAGGGACCTCCCGCCTCCTGAGATGCACGATTGCTTTCTCCACAGAGTTGTCAGTGAACAAGCACCAGGTAAGTGATGGGCTTGAGGCCCTACCTTCTCCCACACCATTTCCAGAACCCAGCCCTTGTCCCTGAGGGGCTCTGCTACCTGCGCCCCTGGGGAGGCTAACAGTACACGACAATTCTAAAACAGTGAGTCTCACCTGGACTGCATATTTGAATTGCCCGTGAGTTTTAAAAAATTCTGAGCCAGGCCACTGACCAACTCCATCAGAATTGCTGGGGGCAGGGCGCAGGGTCAGCATTTTTGTCAAGATCCGGCCCGCCCCCCCCCCGTGATTACGACCGTGATTACGATGCTCTCGGGGTTCAGAACCACTGCTCTAGAGCAGCGCTTGTCACCTGAACGCACAGGAATCCTTGGGACCTCTGGTGCAAAAGCAGACTCTGAGGCAGTAGATCTGGGGTGGGCCTTGAGGTCCTGCTGTTCTGAGCCCTTCAGGTTCAATCTGAAGCTGTGGGCAATGAGAATAGGAACTGGGCGCACCCTCCTCCTTGCCCCAGTCCCACGTCTGACGACCTCAGAATGAAAGACCTGTGTGCGGTCAGCCCTGACCTCCACCCACTCCTCTCAGGAGGCAGGTGGTGGGTGGGCTGTGGGGTGCCCGGCTCTGCCCGACTCACCCCCTCTCCTTTCCCAGCTCCTAGATGACCTCGTTGAAAAGTTCTGCTTCAAGTCCAGCAAAGCCGAGGTGATGTGGGCTCAGCCCAGGGGAACCAGGAGCAATCCCAGGTAGCTTGGGAGGCAGGGGAGTTCGAGCCTGGGCAGAGGAAGGCCAGCTGCCCCTCTTCCTCAGGATGAAGACGAGTATGAGGTGGACTGGTGGAGCAAGCTGTTCTGGGCCACAGGGGACGGCAAGTCCCTGAAGTACAAGGACAAAGACTACCACACCCTGGAGGTCTGGAAGCCCCAGGAGGGAGACTGCCGAGGTGGAATAAAACCTGCTGGGCAGCCAGCAGACCTAGCCCTGATTCCTCTGGGAACCACGGTGTGGGGGGGTTTCCTCATTGCCACCCCACTCCAGGCCACACCGCTACCAGCCTCACCCGTTCAGGGACCAAGGCTGCCCTGGGACGGCTGAGTGGGCAGACACTTGGGGACAAGACCTGGCAGCTGGTGGTCCCTCAACCCCCGATCCCAGGAAAGGCCCTCTGGTCAAGCCCGGGCCTGCTCCCCAGCAGCCTGGGTCCCACGCACCCTCCTGCAGGTGTATGACTGTGAGCTGGAGGCTGTGCCAGCCTTCCAAGGCCTGCAGGACTTCTGCCAGACCTTCAAACTCTACCAGGAACAGCCCAAGTCAGACAGCCCTGTGGTCGGAGAGTTCAAGGTGGGTGTCTAGCCCGGCTTAGCTGCCCCTTCTCTTCATGCCCATCTGTCCACAGAAGACTCTAATAAAAGCCCTGGCTCTATATGCTCTTTGTAGGATGGGGCAGGGAGGGCTTGAAAACCATTTCGGAAGTGGGGAAGCAGACTGACCTATGCAGGGTTCAGAAGGGTACGGTCTGTCTCATCCCGGCTCTGGCCTATGCACTTTCCCAAGGCCCAGGAGCTTTAGAGAAGTTCAGACCTGAAGGGATGGGGCTGAGATGGGAACTGGGAGTTCACATCAGCAGAGACTGGCGAGCACAATTCCTTTGCCCAGTGCCTCCTAAACACAAGTGGTCCCTGTACAGCATCTCTGCTGTGCCTGCCTCTCCCCGACCACATGACCTTTGTCCCTACTACCCTTACATGCTCACTCTTCTAAGCTCAGCCAGGGCACCTCTTAGAGGGTTCTATAGAGCCGGCTGCCAACACTAATCTCCCCAAAACACACACAGGGCCTTTTCCGTGTCTACCCCTTTCCTGAGAACCCAGGAGCCCCCCAGCCCCCCCGCCAGTTCTTGGTTTGGCCTCATAAAGAGGACTTCCCTCAGCAATGCCTGGTGCGGGTGTACGTGGTACGAGCAATCAACCTGCAGCCCCAAGACTACAATGGCCTGGTAATGAGCAGCCCAAACCTGCAGTGCCCATCTTCCAGGGCCCCACCCAGCCCTGACACCGTCCACACCTGCCTAAAGCCCATGTCCTAGAGCTCCCTCAGGCTGCTACCACCCAGACTGCCCTCTCCCCACAAGCTCTGTCTGGTGCAAGGGGCTCATTTCTGCCCCGCTCCTGCCCCCCTGGCCTGACTCTCCATTTCCTGTCCTTCCCTCACTTGTGCCTAACCCCCAGTGTGACCCTTATGTGATCCTGAAACTGGGAAAGACAAAACTTGGCAACCGAGACATGTACCAGCCTAACACCCTGAATCCCATCTTTGGCACGTGAGCTGCCCCAACTTGCCCAACCCCACTCCTCCACTCCCACCCATGCAGCGCCAGGAGAAAGCCCAGAAGTAAAGAACTTGCATTCCCCTCTAGCCGCCCAATTCCTATCATGGAGTCTTACACACTAAAGGTGCTCACCAGATGGGAGATGAACGGGTGGGTGGCCCAGTTCTATCCTCACATGCCCTTTGGGAAGGGAGGAGCCAGGTCCCACCCACAGGCCTATCAACACTTGTTTCCTGCCATACATGGTGATGGTTATTAGCAGACAACAGCCATCCGGGCTCTGAGGGGCAGAGATGCTAGAGGGGAAGCATGTAGGTAACATGGTCTCGGTCTCTGTGGTCTCCAACGCCATCCCACCAGGATGTTTGAACTGAGCTGCACCATCCCCCTGGAGAAGGACCTAGAGATTGAGCTGTATGACTTTGACCTGTTTTCACCTGATGATAAGATTGGCACCACAGTCATCGACCTCGAAAACCGACTTCTGTCTGGCTTTGGAGCTCGCTGTGGGCTCTCCCAATCATACTGCCTGTAAGAGCGGGCCTGACCAAAGGCCAGGGCATAGAGAAGGTGGAGGAGGGAGCCCATAGCTGGGAACCAGGGCCTGAACCTGTCTCTCCCTGCCTCCACTACTGTCATCCTGCAGCCGAAAGCTGTCCAGGCCCCACACCTTTTCCTCCCACACATCCCCACAGGTCAGGACCCTTTAGGTGGCGGGATCAGGTGCCCCCAAGCTTCCTCCTGGAACACCATGCCAAGCGCAAAGGATTGCTTCCACCTCTGTTCAACCCTGATGGTGACTCTGTTTTTTACAATGGGAAAAAATTCAAGCTGCAGCGCTTTGGTGAGCACTGCATGTGGCCAGAAAGCACAGGCCCAGGCCTCAGAAACCAGGGAGGCTCCAGGATGGAAGAGCAGCCAGAGGGCACATCTTTCTCCTTCCTCCTGCAGAGGGCAACTATGGCTACCATTCAGGCTGGGCATGAGGAAGGTGGGGGCCTACCTGGGAGAAGGGAAGACTACTGACCTCAGGATCCCCTCCTGTCCCTTTCAATCTAGAGCCCCAGCCCCCTACTGCTCGTTACTTGGGCCCCAAAAAGGAGCGCCTTGCACTGTACCTCCTGCACGCCCAGGGGCTGGTACCCGAGCACCTAGAGACCCGCATGCTGTACAGCAGCAGCCAGCCAGGCATTGACCAGGTATGAGGCCGGAGGGTCTGGAGTGGGAGACAGGGGCACACCCATCTAGGACACAGCCCAGGAGGGAAAGGAGAAGCTGGGCTTTCAAAGATGCGCTGGGGCAGAAGACATGCACGCCCGCACGTTAGTAAGCAAGAAGTTCCAGTGATGCCACTTAGAACGGAGAGGGTTAGAGCTGGAAGAGTCATGTACAGGACACGGAGGCTGTGCGTCCACAGTAGGACGTGCTGAGGCGCCCTGGCAGCCAAGGCCAACCCTGCCTCAGTCTCTCCTGAGGGAGGGCAGGGCAGCAGCACCAGGTTTGATGTGCAAACATCACACATCTGGTTTGGCTACTAGTTGCAGGAACCCAGAGCAGAAGGAATAAAAATCTCAAGGGCCTTATTACCATCCACCCTCTAGCCACCAGAATGGCTCCCTTCACTCTACATTTCTCAAGCTGATACCACATTCTAGACAAAGTTCTCTACTTAGCATTTTTAAAAAAGCATTCTCACTAAACCTGTTTTCAAAACAAAAGAAAAAATTAGGTCAACTTCAAAAAAATAAAAATGAGGTCAGACAGCTTGAAAGAATATGTTTATCTTTCTTCCAGTGTTGGCAGTTTCACCTCTTCCTTTTCCCCACCAGTGTCATCCCTCTTAGACCTCTGTGCTTTGTGATAGCTTCATACCCTCGGGCTGTGGTTGCACATCCTAAAACAATCTGGAAATCTGGCCTGGCAATCTAGATTACTCTGACTCAGGGTCACTAAGCTGGCTAATAAATAAAAGCCCAACACCATTCTGGAGCTTTCTAGAAGCTTCTAGCATCACCTGCTAAATGGCATTAACCCTCCAGACTCGTTACAAGAGACGTCCCAGCCCCATGACCATCAGCCTTAAAGTCATCATACCTACCAACCTGACTGCATCTTCTCCAGGCCAAAAAAAAAAGGAAAAGGGGGAAGCTGGTGGGCAGTTGCCTGACTTTCTGTCTAAAGTCTTTCCATCTCAGATACTGTACCCCACCTCTCAGTGCTGGGAACATGGCCTCCACAGACCTAAGAACCTGGAACAGGGCTCCCCAGACCAGCACAGAAGACAGGCTAGGAACCCCTGCCAGCTAACCCATCTCTGCTCCAGGGAAAGATACAAATGTGGGTGGACATCTTCCCCAAGAAACTGGGGCCTCCTGGCCCCCCAGTCAACATCAGGCCCAGGCAGCCTACAAGGTGAGTGTGGGCGCACTTCCCTATCTCCGCACTTCCTGGGGGCAGGCACCAGGGTTCCCAGTACTGAGCAGCTGGCATCTTTCCTCTGCTGGGAATCCTGGGACTCCCTTCCCGCCAGTGCAGCATGAGTGTGGGCATGGAGGGTGGCCACCCAGGCCGCTGCTGGGCAGTGAGTCCTTGGCAAAGCCTCAGGGTGCCATGGCCGCAGGTATGAGCTGCGCTGCATTATCTGGAAAACTGCTCACGTGGACCTGAAGAGTGTCAATTTGAGTAACGAGAAGATGAGTGACATCTACGTCAAAGGGTGAGGCAGAGGTGTAGGGCTCCAGCACAGCTCCCCAAGTCCTGTTCTAGCTTTTCTGTGGGTCCTCCTCGTCCTGGGATGACATCTCCCCACTTCCACTGCACCTGGTGTCCACTGGGCGGCCCTTCCCAAAAGGCTCCAGCTCAGGACTGGGGACAGTGCACATGAGCCCAGGTGAGAGGACTCTGACCCCAGGTGGCTATTCGGGCTAGAGAAGGACATGCAGAAGACAGACATCCACTACCAATCCCTGACTGGCGAGGGCATCTTCAACTGGCGGTTCATCTTCACCTTGGACTACCTGGTGGCTGAGCAAATGTGCGTCCTGAGTGAGAAGGTAATGAACGTGGAGGTGGGCTTCTCTTCCTGCCCCTCCCTTCAGAGACTTGCAGTTGTACCAGAACACTTGGAATGAAGTCTCGGCAGAAGCCCTCTTCCTGGACAGTCCATCACGCTAGGTGTGGGCTCCTCAGAGGGCCAAGGGGACTCTCCTAGGAGAGTTGCGGTGACACACTCCTTTGCCATCCTTCAGAACTACATATGGAGCCTAGACCCCCTGGTGATGAAGTTTCCGGCCCGGCTCATCATCCAGATCTGGGACAATGACATCTTCACCACTGATGACTTCCTAGGTGAGCTACTGGCCTGGGGCCTATTACCTCAGGACAGGGAGCTCCTTTGTGCCAACTGCATCTCTCTTGGTTCAGGGGTCCTAGAGCTGGATCTGTCTGACATGCCCTTCCCGGCCCAGCACCCAAGCCTGTGCTCCATCAGGATGATGGATGCTGACCCCAAGTGGCCCCACCTCCTCCAGAACAAGCGCTTCTCCCTCTTTAAGAAGAAGACTGCAACCGGCTGGTGGCCTTGCCAGGTCCTCGAGGACGGCAAGTGGCGCTTGTCGGTAGGAACTGGGGAAGGTGTCTACTGCACAGGACTGCTGTGTCCCATCACTGGCTCTAAATCCTTGGGGGCCGTACCTAAATCCCTCTCCCTTTGTGGGTCCTGGGAAGATGTTCCTGCGACCATAACTCAGCCTCCCACCCCTTGCGGTGTTTCTAGGGTAAAGTGAAGATGACACTGGAGATTCTGTCCGAGGAGGACGCCTTAATCAGGGCAGCAGGACGTGGCCAGTCAGAGCCCAACCAATACCCTACACTCCACCCTCCCCCGTAAGGCTCCTTATTCAGAAAGCCGAGCTGCTGAGCCTGGCCGTATACCCAGGGTGGTGGCCAGTAGCCACAAGTGGAGGGGTAGTTACTTCCCACCACCTCAGCTCAATGCTGTCACACTCAGGAGAGAACAGCCAAGGGGAGAGGGGGAGATGGGGCAGAAGTTGCTTTTTAAAAAAGAAAGGTCTTTGCCTTGGAAAACTTGATCTGAAGGTCCCCTTTGTCCTCCATTCTCGGACTCAACGCTCATGGACAGGCGCACCAACACCTTGCTCTCATGGTTTCAGTCACCTATTAGAAACTTCTGCTATGTTTTCTGGAAACGCTACCGCTTTAAAATCATAATCATGTCAATCATATTGATTATCGGGCTTATGCTGTTCAGCTTCATGTACTCAGCTCCGGTGAGTGATGCCCCTGGGGACAGGGACAGAAGCACTGGTTGCTCTTGGGCTGCCTCTGGAGAGAGCCTCTGGTTGCTATCTTCAGCTGACTGTTGCCTATTCCCTCTAGGGCTATTTGGCCATGAGCTGGATCAAACCTGAGCTTCGGCTGACTTCACCTAAGGATATGTTCACCAATATCATCAATTCACTGAACACCAGAAAGGACAGCTCTTCCAACCTCACTACCCCACATCCTACCCTAAAGTCTACAACAGGCCGTCAGCTGAAACTCCTGCAGGAACACATGAATCACCTGCGACATATTTTTCCAGAACTCCCAGCCCCACAAGGCTAATTTGGCCAGGTTTGCCTGGCTTTTCTTTGCCCACTGTCAGCCCTAACCTAGAGCTTCTTGCTAATTTCTTATTTCTATCTTCTAGGACAGCAAGGGGCTAGGGATATTCTGGCCATTCTGCTGAGAAACCACTTCCATCAAGAAAGGCAAAGCTGTAATTTTCCACTGAAATAAACAAGCTTTGTAACAAAGCCACTTTGTAATTTGGGGGGGGGGGGTGGGTGTTGAAGACCATATGAAAGGCCAGCCTTTTGGACAAGACTCCCAGGGACAGGAAGCAGTGTCGCCTTTGGCACTACCTCCATCTTCTGTCTCTTCCACATGAAGAGGCTCTGAAGTCAGAGGGAAACAGAGGGAAAGGGTGGCAGTGAGGAGAGAATGGCCCCGTGGGGTGAGCCACTGGAGCCACACCACGAACCCTCCTCCAGGACACACCTGCGATGCAGTGGCCAGTACAATATCCAGCCCCATTTACGGGGGCAAACATTTGTTTCCAGGACAAAATACAAGAGCTAGGACAGAACACCCCATGTCTAGTCAGAAGGCGGCCCTGCACCTAGGCTGAAATCACACAAAACCCACAAATCTGCATTCACACTCACATGCTTCCCCCCAGGAGCCCACCTAGGTCCTCCACCACAGGGGCCTATCCAATCTCCCCTTGACCTCAAAGAAGACAAAAGAACCATTTACTTTTTCAGTTCTACCTGGTCCTAAGGCCAAGCTCTCGATCAGCTGGTCCCCTGGCAATTTGGAGCTGCTCTACTGTGGTGGGGAAGGCGTTAGGCAGATCCCACCTTAATCCCACCTGCAGGGGAGTGTTACTGCCTGTGATGCCTAATTAAGCACCTGGAAGGCTATAAGCCAGCCCGAGAGGACAGAGACTGTACCCAGCTAAGGCAACCCTCCTTTCCTTCTGGGTTGAGCTGAGGATTTCACAATGGAGGGAAGGCAGAGCAAGGACTGACGGGCTCAGCAAAAAGGCCTGGAGCCTTCCTAAACCCACGCCCAGAAGGAAGAACACGAGTCAGAAGCTCTGTTGGGTTTCCATCAGCCATTTTACGAATCTCCCTTAGGCTACAGAAGTACAGGCTAGGAGAGCTCAGCTCTGGGCCCTCTATCAACCAATCTCATCATAGGCAGATGGGTGAGTAGCGCAGTGTGTGACCCCTTGTCCAATAGGCAGTGAATAAGGGCTAATCCCTGGAGGATGACACTCAGGCTCTATTGCTCAATGACAATGAACTCTTCCAGGCACAGATGACAAGGGCCTATTGACCCAGATTTGCAACACGAGAACAGCAACTTACTTATCCATTAAGAAAAAGAAGCCCGATTTCCTCCTGGGGAGTATCCAGGCCGAGACTATAAGAAAAAAGTTTTCTTACATTTTGAACACTCAAAGTAGGATTCCAAAGACCATGACAGACACAAAACATGCAGCTAAGCAGGCTCCAGTTGGTCCAGAAACATCTCCATGTGGTCGGGTCACTCAGCAAATGTTGCTTCTGGTGTCAAAACCTGGAGCAGGTCAGTGTCACAGTTCAGCCCACTCATCCACGGGATCTTCCAAGCTTCTCTTGACTTGCACACCAACTTCCAGCCAAACAAGACTGAGGGCTGAATGGAAGGGCCTCATTGGGAAGATCCCAAACACGCCAACAGATCCAGGATCCACACAGACAAGCAAAGGCTAGAGCAGCGGGCCAAAGCAGAAAGCCTTCCCTGCGGACACCTAATGAGGGTCAGTGCAACATGTTTGTTCTGCAGCCCTGGCTCCGACAGACAGGCATGGAAGGTCTTCTCGATCTCAGGCTGCATGTGAAGAGGACAGTAAAAGGAGGGAGAAGTTTCCACCCAGATTTCCAAGGAGAGCTGCTCAGGTGGACAGAGGCTTAGACAAAAGCAAAAACCAATGAATGGATGGTGGAAAGGTATGAGGAGTTTTCCATTCTTTGCAGATTTAAGTGAGAAGCACGGGGGTCCTGAGTCCAACACCAAGGCATCCTGGGTTACGAAGTTCTTTTCTGTGATCTTGGCATCATACCAGGAGATCCTATCTCCACCCTCTGAGCTCCCAGTGGACGGACTGCAGGGAAAGGCACATCACAGCAGCATTGCCCTGGGGTGGGTGGGCTTCCTGAACCAGAGTCAGAGGTCCTCACAGATGACCATGGGAATACAGTGTCCCTGAACTCAAAGCTTCAGTGACAGAACACAGTCCCTGACCGGCTGCTGAAGAATGGAGAAGACCACTGGGCTGTGTGGTCGGGCCAGCGCCTGTTCTTCCCACACCTCATGGGGACAGCCACAGCGGAGGTGGTGGCAGGAGGGCTCAGTAGAAACGCTTCCGGCTCTGTTCCTGCCACTTGTTGTACAGTATGATCCCAATGACAATGGCAAACACGGAAAACACCAGAGAGAAGAAGACAATGAGGAAGAGAGCCAGGCCACTTAGGGGCGGCAGCGGGGCTGTCACTGAGGAAGCAAGAGAGAAGCAAGTCAGCCCCTGGGAGCCTACCCATTAGGAAAGACCACCAACAAGCTAAAGCCCCCAGGTTCCAGTACCCATTCTGGGAGACAGAACTCAGACTCTCCCTTTCCAGATGCTTTAATCCAAAAACGAAGCCGCCGCCTCCTGCTCATCTGTAACCTGAAGACAAGTGACAAGAGGTGCCAGTGCTCCATATCCCTCCGGGAAAGGACAAAGGAGACAGCCCTGCGAGCTGTGGGTGCGGTCCCCTGGCCCGCCCCAGCACTGCGACCTTCCACTGTGGGCCATTTCCCAGGGTCCCCATGCTCACGCTCAGGCAGCTTCATGTTGTCCACCGAGGGCAAGAACACGTCTCGATGCAGCTTCTCCTCTTCTGGGGTTCTCTCCACCGTCAGCTCAAATAACTTCAGGGAAATGATGTCATGGTTGTCTAAAGGAAAAAGTACTGCTCAAGCCCCCTCAAAAAGAGGTATCTTGGAGTATCTTGGCTCAAGCTTTCGATTCCACAGCTAACTAGCAGTGACCTTAAAAAAATAATTGCAACCTGTTTTCTCATCTAAAAACAAGGATAAGAAACAGGAATATTCTATATTATTCTACAATATTATAGATAGATAGATAGATAGATAGATAGATAGATTTCAGAGAAAGATATAAACATCAATGATGAGAATCATTGATTGGCTCCTCCTGTACACCCCACACTGGGGATCGAGCCCACAACCCAGACATGTGCCCTGACCGGGAATTGAACCCTGACCTCCTGGTTCATAGGTCAATGCTCAACCATTGAGCCATGCTGGGCGAGCTCCTCTTTTTAAAGCATCATTATAAACTCATCAATTCAAACACATTTGACGTGTTTCAATACACTGAGGTTGTACATCTTACTGATGCTCAACTCCACCCATTTTGTTCCAGTGGGAGCCTATGCAAGTTGGTTTCTGAGTCTTTTTTCATGAACCCAGTAGTTTTCTAAGATTTTTTTTATTTTATTAACTTTTTTTTTTCTTTTAGAGAGAGAGGAAAGGAGAGGCAGGGAGAGAAAAGGATGTGAAAGCATACCCCCTACGGAGGATCGAGCCTACAACCCAGGCATGTGCCTTGACTGGGAATCAAACCAGCAACCTTACAGTGCACAGATGACATTGAGCCACACTGGCCAGGGCCCAGTAATTCTTGGTATCTTCCTTGCTTTTCTGGAAAGTTCCCACTTATACACTTCTTGCCATAGATCTGCCATTTCTCCAAGAAGCTCCTGTTCCTCTCAGTGGAGACTGGTATTAAGAGACCACAAATCTGAATGCCAGGGAGGTTATGGCTACTTGGTTGGATTTTTTGCCATTTCTATTACTAGGATGGCATCTACACCTGCTTAGACTTAGAATGTTAGCAGACCCTTAGCAAACCCTGAAAAACTGGGTTTGCCTTCAATGAGGTGTTTTTGCTGTCAGGACTGAGTGGGAGCCATGGACAGAATAAAAAGGAGGGCAGTGCTCCTCACAATGTGAGGCACCAGTGACTGAAACGGCTGGAGTGTACCCCACTTTCTCAGCCATTTCAATACCCACTGCCTAACAGTAAGAAGGTATCAACAAGAAAGACCTTAAGAGAAAGACAATTTCTATTTAGGGACATTCTATGGGTAGAGAACACAGACTCACTAACCTAGGCATTACCACCAAAAACCTAGAGCAAAGGACTCCTTAGGACAAACAAAAAATGACTGTATTCTCTTTGGTCATATCTAACAGTTGGGAACAATTTCCCATTGAAAAGTGCACCAGGAGAGAGAGAGAGAGAGAGAGAGAGAGAGAGAGAGAATCTGAGAGCAGGGGACAGGGGCGAGCCCCTCAGATGGGGATGGGACAGGGGTGGGAGCTCCCTCGGTCTCTTGGGCATGGCTGTGTGGACACCCGGGGACCCTCAGCCTCCATAAACTTCCCAGGGCCCCAAACTTGGCCCGGAAGCAGCAGCATCTCCTGCCAGGAAGGGGTTGCATCCTGTGTGGAAATAGGCGTCACCATGGTAACTAGGGCAGCCGGATGATGTGGTCCAAGGGGCCTCCCCTAAGCTCTGGTGCTGCAGAAACCCCGTGACCTAGAGAGAGTCCTGGGGAGCCCCGGGGCCCCCGTCACAGCCAAGCTCAACCTCCGGGTAGCCCGGTGGGATGGTAACTGGCTCAGGATTTAACTTGATTTTTTTTTTTAAAAAAAAGTCAAATAAAATGGACTATTTCTTGCAAAAAAAAAAAAAGAAAAGTGCACCAGGAAGTTAACTGACAGGTCCTAGAAACATGTAAGCTTAAAGGAAAATGCAAAGAAGACATTTCAACTTGAAACACATAATAAGATTACCTAGCAAAGATCTAAAGCTTGTGCCTCCTGTGCCTGGGCCCAGGGAAGCTCTGCCCACGCCTCAGCCTTCTGCACAGTACTCAGCCCCTGGTTGCCAGGGCAGAGCAGGTGAGGGCGGAGCTGCAAAGGGGCACCAGGACTTCTCGAAGTGATGGAAACGCTCTGTGTCTTGACTATGGAGGTCATGACACAGGTGTGAATATTTGTCAAATCTCTTCCAACTATGTACTTCTGTTGTATGGAAAGCACATCTCAATAAAGTTGATTTTTTTTAAAGCCATGATTTTAAAAATCAGATTTCATTTTAAAAATCCAGATTCCCAGCTTCTCTTGAAAAACTGACAGCATGGCCTTACCGAGCCCGCATTTGCTCTTGGCCACAATGCTGGAACCAAGCAGCTGTTGCCCATTTCAGATGGGTGTTTGCCTTTCCCTTTTGCCAGAAGAAAATTCTATTCCTATTGGCTTTATTCATAATAAATTATGTCCAAAAATTCCAAAAGTTTGGTTCTTTACCTCTTCTCAAATGACGTTATGATTGGGACTGGAGCCAAGGGGAGAACAAATGGGGACAAGGAGAAAGAAAGTCGAGGGGACAGGAAAGAAAAGCAGCAGGTACTGTCAGCGGCACAGACCTTCAGGGCACATGGTCAAAAGAGCTGACGAGAGGACATAGAGCGAGGACTGAGAACAGAGTGTCACGCAGGCAGGGAGAGTGCTAATGCACAGTCGAGACATGGGTCCAGGGCAGTGTGTTCAGAATGGAATGGCTGGAAACGGGAGCATCTCTACACATGAAACCCAGAAGTCTGAGCACAAAGCAGGGCCTGGGAGCCAGTCAAGGGGGACAGCAGAGTCACGAAGAAGCCTTGTTCAGAGAAGGAGAACTAAACACGTTAGGAGTGGGAGGGAGGAAGCAGACTAGAAAGGTGGCAACAGAGTCAGAAAAGTGCAGAGCTCAAAACACAGGCTGGAGAGCTGGCTCCTTGAAGAGGCAAACACTACTCTCCCGTAGCTCCAACTATCTCCCAGGACCGCTGTCTGAGGCCAGCCTAAGCCTGGGGTTAAGGAATCTGGATATGAGAATGCAGGAAGATAAGCACTCCCAGGGCACCTGCTTCCCAAAGTCCTGCTTGTCTGGCTCTCCCCTCTGAGAAGCTTCACCAAGGCCTGGCCACTGAGACACGGCCTCAGTCAGGGCAAATGAGAAGTGCAGTGGTAGTACCTGAGAGATCCCCGGTGATGGAGGAGGTGCCAAAGTAGTAGCCCCGGGGCAGGCGGACTCCGGGCACCTCAATGCAGTCCCTCCACTCATGCTTGCCGTCGATGTCCATCATTACCTAGAATAAAAAGAAGAGAGAAATCAGGGCCAGGCCCCAGGAGCAGGAGCCAGACAGCTTATACTGCCAACAGGTCCAGAACAGGGACTCACCGTCAAATGCCTCTTGACATAGCGAATCACAAGGAAGGTGTCATAATGGAGATTGCGGACAATGGCCGTACAGCCCCCCAGCTCTGTTGGCCGCCCGTCCCGCTCATGATCATAGCTGAGGGAGCCATTGCTCACCATGGCTGAGATATAGGGGAACACCCGCTAGGAAGGCAGGGAAGGAAAAGCAGAGGACAATGAGGAAGTGCAAAGAGCAAAGAGCAACAAGAACTATGCACATATAAGCTGAGCACCTTACAGAGACCAGACAACAGCCCAGCCTCCTCAATAACAACCTGCTAGAACCCACACTCAAGTGATATGGCCCAGGAAGCGACTAACTCTGTCCTTGTCTTCAAGGATCCTCCTTGCTACACGTCTGGGTGGGTCTGACATGGTCCCTCTAAGGCTCTAATCTCCTCCCTGAGAACACCATTTGCACTGTTCCTCTGCTCCACACTAGTGGCTTTTTGTGTTTATGTACCTATCTACCCAACTGCCATGTAAACTCCTTTAAGAAAATATAACTTGTTATGCTTTTTTGCATGTCTCCACATTAGCCCATCCCCCCCCCACCCGCCCGAGTGTTTTGAACACAACAGGTATTCTGAAAATACCTTTTGATCAGGGATATCTTTCCATTCAGGATAATTCCTTTCAAATTCTAAAATCCTGTAAGCACATGATGCAAAATGGACCAGGACTCAAAAAGAACCAGGTTGCTGGATGGTGTTCTCTAGCCCACATGACTGTTTTAGCCAAAAAACCTTCCAGCCCAGTTAAGCTTCAGCCACAACTTCTCCCAATAACACACAGAGCAAGGTTCTCCCACTGCAAGTTTCCCCAGATCCCACCCACTTTCCTACCCTACTTCAGAGGCCCTCTCTCTTCAATAAAATTTTAGGAGCACATCTTCCTTAGAAATGATGAGCTACCATAGTGCTAGGCAGTGCAGATGGAAGGAGAGGTCACATGACACATGCCACTTGGTGAGTTCCACACTGTTCCCAATATCAACATGCAAATGAAGATGCACTCACAATCAGAGACTGGTGACTCTTGAGACAAGAGCCACATGGATTCTAAACAGTAGCAAATGTTGGATGAGCACACAGGGAATAAAGGATGGCCATGGTGGGTCAAGAATTGAATACCTGGACTCCTGGAGAATATCGCCTCTTCTGGGCCTGAGAGGGTCCACAGGTTTGAAAACAAGAGAGGGCACAGAAGACAGGAGACCAAGTCAGAAAGAAACGGCCATGGAAGAGCTAAGACCCAGTGGTGGTGGGTGAGCAAACCAGTCTCAATCCCCAAACAGAAACTTAGGGTGCGTGGAGGACACTCAAGTCCTTGTGCCTCTCAAAATTATAGGCAAAACTATATTCACAGGTGCTTGTACATTATGAGGAGAGGAGGTGTAACTATCACCAGATCTGCAAAGAAGTCCTCTGGGAAGACCTCTCTAAGGTCCTGAAGCTTACAGAAGCTTTATAAAACAGACAGCATTACACCATCCAAGCAGGCCCCCCTTATGTCTCTGAGAGTCAGGAGGTCAGGCCACAAGTTTGTACCCAGACTGCAGCATTTCCATAGCAAGGGGAGAGACAGGAGAGGCAGGGCTAAGTTCTTCCAAATTCAAGATGCTGTTTACTGCCCAGGATCTCAGAATATAGCTAGTGCCCAGAAGACAAAAAGCCCAGCACGTGAGAGGCTGTGAAATGAACATGAATCCAAAGGGATCATTTACCCTCTAGTTGAGCCTGTGGACATATATTTCCAAATATATAACCTATAACATGTGGACAAGGCAAAGCTCCATGGGAGTGTTGAAACATGGCAAATGGTTCAAGGATAGTTTTGCTCCAGAAAACTGCTACAGTACTAGCAACAAGAGATACCTACACTGGCTCAGTTCAGCCCTACCCTAGAGAAGGGTGTGTAAGGGTGTAGAGCACAAAGTGTTCCTTCCTCTGATCCTTCCTGAGACCTGGTACCAGCCAGACACTGTTCCAGATGCTTTAAGTTCAATGGGAAACAACATAGACAGGTTTAATGGAGCTGGAACAGGAGGCTGAAGAATCACAATGACTCGGGCAAAGGCGGCAGTCCCATTCCTAACTGAAGAGTCACCAAAAATGAGGAACTCCTGCCTATTGTGCAAATCGCTGTCTGGAGGGTGGAGACGTGCTTTCACATTTTTGTACTGCAAGGCCACTTTTGTTAAAAAGGCACCTACATATAATTGTACCTTCAACATATCTTGATTGAAAGGAGACTAGTGAACTTGTGGATCTACGAACCCTATGCTAAAATTCCCCAGACCCGAAGCACACAGCTGTGAACCACTGAACAGAAAAGAGCAAACATGGCCTCTGTCAGCAGGGAGAGCTGTTCTAACTGCAGCCACGCCACTCCCAGCTTCACAACTTGGGGTGAGCTCCACCAGCTGAGATTCCCTCTGCTTGCCGGAAGCAGGGAGAATACACGGCACACAGGGCTAATTCCGAAGATGAAATGAGACGTGTAAAGCATCTGGTACAGTGTCCGGCATTCAGGAGGGAGTCAATAAATAATAAATGTTCATTCAATCCATGACTAAATGAATGAATTCCAGATAGAAATATTGTTTACAGGTGCTCATATATAACCACAACGCTAAACACATAGTTTAGAGCAGTAATTCCCAGATCACTGGCTTGTCATGGACCAGTAAAATCTCCAAAAATATTTTGGAGGTTAACAGGTTTACCTTGTTGGTTTTCTGATCTACTAAATACATTAAAATACAATAATGACAAGACAACCATCTTTATAAACATCACTTTTTTTATAAATATCATTTTTAAAAGAACATTTTAATACCAAAGATAGAAATATGTAATGTCATAATAAAACATTTGGCATCGATCAAAAGTCTCCTCACTGTTCTTACTCTCAGACCAGTGAAACTGTCACCAACCAACAGGAGCTCATGAACTTGGGAGCACTTGGGAGCCACTCTTTAGGGCAGTTTTTCCAACTAAACCATCCTGCAGCTGAGTAAGCCGGCCGAGTTTGCTCTCTGAACCTAGACAGATATGAAGAAAAACGGTAGGAGAGAACAGAGCCACGACGGCTACTGCGAAGACACCTGCAGGATGGCCCTTGTGAGTGTCACTTAGTGGTGAGAACAGCTAGCTGCGAGCTTACTCTGTGCCAGGCACTGTACCAGTAATGAGCACATATGCATTCCTTTAATTATCAACACCCATATGGTTATAGTTATTGGTATTCCCATTTCGCAGGTAAGAAGACTTGTTTAAGAGGACAAAACTTGTTTAATAGGTTTTGCCTTGGCCAGTGTGGCTCAGTTGGTTGGAGCATCATCCCATACTCCAAAAGGTTGCGAATCTGATTCCTAGTCAGGGCACATACCTAGATTGTGGGTTCAATCCTGGTCGGGTTGCATACAAGAAGCAACCAATCAATGTTCTCTCTCATATCTCTCTCTCTCTCTCTCTCAAATCAAGAAGCATATCCTCAAGTGAGGATTAAAAGAAAAGAGAGAGCAAGAACACAGGAATTGAGTAGTGAAAGCAGGATTTGAAACAGGCAGCCAGAGCCCAGAGTCCTGGCTCAGTCACTCAGCGAGAGCTACACTGCTCTCAACATCTACCAATATGGAAAAATGCTTAGTATATACTGTGAGATACAAAAACAAGAAACTAGGTCTCTACCCTGAAACACAAAGGAATACTGGGGAATGGTTCCAGATCGAAGGAAGGACATGACAACTGAATGCAACATGGCATCTTGGCTTTTCTTTTGCCATAAAGGACAGATTTGACAACTGATGAAATCTGAATAAGGTTAGTAAATTAGGCGATAGTATTGATATCAATATTAAGTGCCTGGTTTTGATCACTGTGCTGTGGTTATGTAAGAGAATTCCTTGTATTTAGGAAAAACAAGTTTAGTATTTAGAATAAAGGGAGCATCTTAAAGAAAGGCAACTTGCTCCTTAGTTCAGGGAAATATATACAGACAGACAGAGACACAGATACACACACAGAGGTGAAGAAAAGGCAAAGCGCTCTGCCAGCACGAGTCAGTGGTTAGAGCATCAGCCTGTGAATGGAAGGGTCTTGGGTTTGATTCCCGGTCAAGGTCACGTAGCTGGTTTGCAGGTTTGCTCTCCCAGCCCCAGTCAGGGCGCATGTAGGAGGCAACCAATCGATATTTCTCTCTCTCTCCCTCCCTTCCATCCTCTCTCAATGGAAAAAAATATCCTCCCGTGAGGATTAACAACAACAACAAAAAAGGCAAAGCAAATGTAATAAGACATCAACATTTTGGGAAATCTGCGCAAAGAGCACCCTGAATTCTTTATATTATAATTTATCTGTAAGTCTGAAACTATGTCAAAATTTTTAAAAGGTTAGTCTGAATCTAGTATTTGCCATCTTCTCATTTTTCTATATATCTAAAAACCTTAAAATTAAAAAAACAACGGTATGTTCATGTGATGTAATGTTTTGTTTTTAAAAAGTTGTTTGTACATTTTGTTTTAGCCTTTTCTGATTTTTCTATAATGAGCTTTAATATAAAAAGAACAACAAACAAATGCCCCTTCTGCAGCATCTCCCTTCACACCTCCATCTGTCCCTCCCTTTGGATACTGGTGGGACACACAGAAGCCATTTTTCAGGCTTAAAAACTTTGTAAGTTACTGATCCTACAGTAATCTTCATCTAACTAGCCCTTTATGCAGGAATCTGGTACAAAGGTGACAGGATAACCCAGCAACATCCATCTTACATAGAGTGACATCAATGAGTTCTCACATCATTGGGCAGCATGAGAAGGCCCCGGCTCCCTAAGCTCCCAAACTACTACCAAGCTATACCAGGGACTGTCCCAAGTCTTAAAGCTCAACTGAGGACACTCCAGCCAGTTAACTGCCTGGAAGACTTTCACATTTGTGAACATTACCATGATCTTTTAAACTCATAGGATGATTTTAATCCCATTTATGTTAGTTGTGACCCCACTAGAACCAAAATAATGTAACTTGAGGACTTCAATAGTGCTCTAAAACCAGAAAGCATTAAACTTGATGTATGCCCAAACACCGAACACTGAAGTTCATGACTCGTCTACCCCGATTACAATTGCCAAGATTCAGA